CCCCAAAACCCCAAAACCCCAAAACCCCAAAACCCCCAAAAAACCACAGTTGAAATGTCTATTTATAGCCTAACCCAGTCTCTAAAATCCATCAGAGCCTAAATCTTACTGATCCCTGCCAGATCTTTCTTAATGCTGGCGCCGAAGTTCTCTAGACATGCTTAAGGGAGACGTACCTAGAACTTTCAGGAATTCAGAATGCTCCTGTTCTTCACGGAATTTCTAGGAGGTGGATAAGGGAGATTACCTTCTTGCTATAGGGTCAGGAGGGGGAATTTACCGGCCTTCTTCGATAAATCTCTGCTCGTGGTCGATTATGTACCTGGGGGTAGTGAGAGGTGGCTTACTTTGATTTAGTATACTCTATCTTGGACTAGAGATGGTTAGGAGGGTTTAAAAGTACCTTGAAGTTACTAGCAAAGTCATACTTCTTGTTCTGGAGAGATTTAGTCAACTGCATTCGCCTATACGGTGTGCTTGTGATCTTATTTTCTATCTTGAAGTTCTTATTCCTCCATTTGAGAGACCGCTCTCGCATATTAAGTGACAGCAAAGTAGGGTCAGCTGGCTCTAAAGCTGGTACTATTGATTTTGAGTAGCTTGGCCTCTCCAAAAATTGAAATGAATTAGTTCATTCATGATCCTTTGCCAATTGATTGTCTTTCCTATGAAATAAAGCCTTTTTAGATTTATTATTTAGACTTATATCTCTTCTTTTTCTTCTTTCTGACCTTTACAGGACTTTTCTCCATGCCTAAAGTTGTCAACAAATTCTCACTTTTATAAAATTTATTCATCAAGGCAATCCTTCTCTTGGCTCTTTCTTTACTTGCCTTTTGGCAAGCTTGATGATTATTACATATTTCCACTCATCCTGTCCTTCCTCGTTCTTAAGCTTAATACAGACTAAGGCAGGCCAAGGCCTGCCTTAGGAGTACTTACCTCAAGTTGTGTGGGAAGGCATGGATGGGGTCTGGGAAGGGTACAGCTACAGGGGGGTTAGAGGGTGGAGGGAATGGAAGGAGTGGGGTTTTGGGGGTGGAGGGGTGGATGGAGAGGGTTTGGGCGGATTTGGGGTGAGGAGAGGTGATAGAAGGCATTTTGAGGATAGTGAAGGGAGATTGGGGTTCTGAAGTTTTTATGGGTTTTAGTGGGAAATTTTATTGTTTCTCGTGAGGATAGACAAAGAAATACGAAAATTAAGTTGGTATGTAAAGAAATATTATGAAGCTCAACAAAAACATAAAGACTCCAAACCATTAAAACCAGTCTCTTTGCTAACCTCAGGCTAATTTTCCCTCTCCTAGTTGTAGGGCTACAAAAGGCTCTTCAATCAATTTCAAAATCTCAAACCCCTATCATCACAAAGTCTGCAGCCCCATGTCACTCCCTTTCAGCTACGATATTATCAAAGATAGGCTAACTTTATTCCTTTAGATATTCTGCCTACAGAAGAACTAATGGTTTTATAAGAATGGCAGAGTAGTAATAGGGTTTCGACATTTACCTCAGGAAGAATCTTAGCGTTTTGAGGGTCCTCATCCACCCAGTTTAGCTTAGCAAGTGAAACACGCTTTAGAGCAGAGTTCTGAGACTGGTGCTGAGCGAGATTTGAGAAAGAATTCGCTTTTGAGGGTGTAGTTTTTGAATGCTTTGGGTGGCCTAGGAGAGATAAGCTGTTGCTCCTTTCATGCCCTGCTTTGATCTTTTTAGTAAGATACTCTATCGGAGGTACCATGTAGCTCTCTGAATCATTCAGATTATATGAATCCTCGTTCCTTTTAGTGGTTGAAGGGCCTAAATTACATCAGAAATTAAGCAAACTAATTTTATTTTCACAAAATAATTTTGAAGAAATGTAAGATATTAACCTAAAATGTAGCTAGGATAATTCTTGTCTTTAATCTTACCATAGCGCCTATTAAGTTCGCCTCCGATATTGCTCGCAAGGATCCTAAAGTTTCTATTTCTCATCATGATTTAGGAACATCATTTCTTTATCATCAGAGTAATCTTTCTTGTGATTATTGAAGTTTAGCTGTGAGAAGATCGCCATTATATCTAAATATTTATAAATATCGGGGTTTTGGGGTTTTGGGGTTTTGGGGTTTTGGGGTTTTGGGG